GTGCTTCTGATACACATTACAGAGACCAGCTAGAATTTACGAGATTTAATAATCATTTTTCTCCTTTTGAGGGGAAGAAACCATAAAAAAGGGCCATAAGAAATTACTGACCTCATGAAAATAATGACAAATAATTTCCTTTTTTTTTGGGCAAAGCCAATCTTAATTGATTAACAGTAAAAAATTTGTATTGCACTCTTAAGTGTAACTTGTTAATCTCTGCCCTCAATCAACCAATGTGAAAAGACATTCAGTAGATTAAAATTATTCATGCCAGTAATAGTTCGAAAGATTTCAACTGTTGCGAGGCAGTTTACAAGTATTGCCCGTAAACAATAGTTTGAAAGGAGCTCAAATTTTTTTCAAAAAAAAAAAAGGAGCTCAAATATTATAGGAAACTGTAGAAAATCTGAAAATGTGCAAAATGCAATGGATTTTCATGCCCTGCAACTTTTTTTTCTTTTCTGGTTTTTTAAAGGTTCTAGTGCCGCATAAAATAGGTTAAATTGGGCAAAATATAAAGTCACATATTTAGTTTACATCAAAAGTTCGGTAACGACTTTATATATATAGTATAGATACAAATATAGATAATATACAATCTTGACTCTTTATTTTGAGAAATTAGTTTCATAGTAAAAAATATTTGTCTAAAGGGGGTAAAGGTAAATTGCTAAACCATGAGGTAGTGACAGTCCTAACACAATAGGGTTTTTCCTTCCTTCCTTTCTTTCCTAAGTTCTGGCAACATTTATAGATGCTTTTAATTCTTAAGGCTTGCAAATGAGATTTGTAAAACACCCTTAGTCTGCTAAAGGGAAGATCTAAAAATTATATGGGGTTTATAGGTCTAAAAAAAAGCTCTTCGATGAGGTTATTTTCCCTCCCAAAAAGAGGAAGGCCAGATGTATGCGTGCACGAGCATCAAAAGCAGTTTGGTGTGTTTTGTGGCCAGCACAAATCCGTCAAAAAGAGGCGGCCGGCAGCTAAACTGATATTTCAGTGACCCATACAGCTCCTTTATGGCAGTGCTAATGCTACCGACGGGGATAAGGATTCAGTGAAATTGTATTTTATGTGATTTCTTCTAGTTATTATAGTTGTTTAAATTTTTAGTGTACAAATATATTATAATATTATATTTAATATATATCAAATTTTTTATTTATGTATATTACTTTTATCCCGAATATAATATAACGTAATTATATATTAAATAATATAAAAAGTATAATAATTGAATAGAATCGTATCAGACTCCAACCGCACTGATCCCTCACACCTACTAGTAGTGACTTCCAGCAATTGCAATATTGTACAATAAACATGGCCAATATGAATTTGCTTGCAAATTGGATAAATAGAAATGATTGTCAGACAATCATGGGTGCCGGCCAATGATCAGAGGAGGGTTCTTTGAGAACTCAAAGCAGGCACAATGTCTCGTATCAATTTTTATTAATCTCTTAAAAACAACTGTCTTCTGGCTCTTACTATTTCAATTAGAGCTTTTAACGAATCGAACTATTTGTGAACACGTTTGTGTTCGGCTAATTCGAATTCGAAAAAAGCTTTATCATTAATAAACGAATTGAGTTCGAACACAATATTAAGCTTATTTAATAATCGAGCTGAACATGAATCTATTCACGAATTATTCAAATTGTTTGTGAATACGTATATAATTATAAAATAAAAATAAAAATATTTAATATTATTAAATATATATTATATTTTTACTAAAAAAGTAATTATACATAAATTAGCATTATTTTTTAAAAATCAATAATTACAATTCGACATATTCTAACTAATGTATTATTTATTAAAAATACAATTAATCATCTTCAAAATCAAATTCGAACTTGAGTTTGAGTGCGAATTCGACTCATATAGTTTAACGAGCCAAGTTCGAGGTTGAACTCGAATATTTATACAAATAAACGAATTGAATTCAAACAATATTTGTAATTCGTTAATATTCGAGTCAAATTCGAACCTTGTTCGTATATTATACAAACAGAACTTGAACACCAAATATTCAGCTCTATTTGACTCGTTAAAACCTCTAATTTCAATCTATATCAATCTCTAGTATTATTAATTGATTCACCTAAAAGACAAATATAATCTAATACACACAGCTTACTACTCTGGGTAACCTAACATGCAAGTGTCAAGTCTCATTTCAACTAGTAGAATATAGAACGTTGTAACCTTTTACACTCTCTCTTGCAGTTAAAACTCATAATTGTAGAGACCCACAAACGTAACCCATAACCCAAAAGGACCAAAACATAGACCTAGAATTTTTTTTTAAAATTTTTTTACGTTTTTTTTGTGTTTTTTGTGAACATAATTTTCAAAAGGACCAAAACATAGACCTAGAAAAACAGCCTTGTTTGGATTGAGATTTTTCCTCAAAAATTTTTACGTATTTTGTAAATATAATTTTTAATTACTTTTTTATCTCACATATATCAAATTATTTTAGTACATTTTTTTTAAAAAATAAAAGCTATAGAAAATAGCAATCCAAATAGACTAGCGAAATGTAAATTTCGAATTGTCCGTAATACGAGTCTTGATTAGAATTCCTTCCTTTCGGCCTACTCTGATTTGGGCCTAGATTTAGTTCTATCTCACTTAAATAGGAACAATCATAGTTTAATAATTCCAGTACAAATTCTGACATTTATCTGCAACAAAGAAAAACACAATTTACTTATTTCAGCCCAAATAATGTCAAATTCGGGATGAACTGTTGTACCCTGCGTGTTCCTATTGAAGTTGCATACAAGTAAATCCAGGCCCAAACCATAGTTGGCCTAAATGAATTCTAATCAAGCCACATATTGTGGGCAATTCTTCGCATGCTTTTTAGGTCTATATGGAAGGTTTTTGGTCCATACGAAAGTTTTTGGTCCATTTGGATTATGGGTTTTCTACAATTATGAATTTTTCTTTTTTGATCATTACAATTATGAGTTTTAATTGCAAGAGTGAATGTCAAAAGTTGCATCTTCCTATATTTGTTTGTATACATAATGCACGAGTGTTGGGTTTGGTATTAAAAATTTAAAATATTTTGTCATTATTCGTTATTCCTATTTCTTTTTTTTTTTTTTTTTTTTTTTCAACATTGGGGTGTCCGGGTCAAGACCCGAAGGCGGCCCGACTAATCCCCAGCGGCCCGAGAGGAGAGGCCCCATCCCCCCAAGCACGGTAACCCTGCACGACTCGAACCCCTGGCAAGCGCTCCTAAGGAGGCGTGCGCTGCCAGATGAGCTGCCCAGGAGGGGCCGTTATTCCTATTTCACTACACAACAATCTCAAGTTCCATCCCCCTATGTTTAGGGAACTACCTTGTAACCAACTCAACTTCTATATCCCCAGATTTGGGCAACTGCTGCTACCATACTCTGCTTATCTAAGTTTTCCTGGATCGCCATCTTCAATTTGAAATAAAAAAACTAAAAAAAATTAGCTTCACAAAAGATTAATACAAAACTGGTTTTGGTGGTTTCAAGGAGAACACAAACCGACTATGGAGCAAAGTTCATTCTTTGTTGTCAATTCTAGGATGCAATTTGGGTTGGACTTCTTATGTTTAAAAAAGCCGCATCCTTCACATTCCAACGTATGTATGGGTACTTTGTTTTTATTACAATTTCCTTTTGCACACTTCAATAGTACTTGCTAAGTTTTCGAGTCGCATGTGTTTGTTAACTTGAGGATGTTTTGTTTAATTGTGGGATATTGTTGGCTTGATGAATTTTAACAATCTGTACTTCACAGAGAATTCCTCTTTTGCGCATTTTTTTTCCCTTTTTTTTTTTTTTTTATAACTTTGAAAATGTACTGTTGAATAGTGTGTGCATATGCATATTTCTCGAACCATCATTCATAAAGAATGAGCCTTTAAAAGGATCTGTATTATTAGGATATCATTTTTTTCGTGTATCATATTTTACGAAATGCGCATGCATTGAGTGTGTCTCGACTACTAGTACATATAAATGCTAAAACAATACAATAATTGTACATAATTTTTACTCAAGAATCCTACCATAATTTCAAAATTTTTGTAAAGTGCTAATTCATGCCATAAAATGTTCAAATGGAAGATCTCAATCTCGAATTGTATCATGCAATTTTCCATTACCGTTGTGGAGAGCCTAATGGGTAAGTAAGCCAATTTGAGACCATGGCCTTTTGTCACTGAATTCAACATTCATCCATGCAATATTTAGTCGTTTTGTTCACAGGAATTGTTTTATCTAGTGAACTAATGAAGTGAAGAGTTGATAGAAAGTCATTAAGTTGATACAACGTTTCACTTTTAACCGTTAGATTCCGTTTCACTTGGGTTAGAAAAAACCTAGAGATTTAACTAGTAAGTTGTACACTCAAGTGAAATTAAAGTTCAAATCTTATTACCAATTTTGGTGTGTGACTGAGTAGATCTGAGATTGGATCCACTAATTGTAAAGTGTAAACCCCGAACGAAGCTCGTGTGTGCTTCAACCTCAGAATGGGAAAATCTTCTTGTCTTGATTTTATGTTCCGGATTACTTAAATAAAGAAGAAAAAGGTCCTCAAAATCGTAGTGTTGAACTTTTTTTAATGTGAAGTATGCCATACAGATGGGTGCCCTGTGGAAAACTGGCAGAGCCCACAATGATTGACATAATCTCTTTCTTTTTTCTTAACACAATCGACTCATGTACAATGCAGAATAAGCTTTGTCAGCATATTTTCCTGGTCAAAATTTAAATGCCCGCGCAAATGTGACAAAACTTCTCATCTTAGATCAATTTGGCATGGCCTTTGATTTGATTTGAGAAACATAATTTTTACTACTTTATAAAAAAAAAATTACGCATTAAATATTGAAATTTGGAAATAGCGAGTGAAAGAGTATAACATTAAAAAAAAAAAGAAAAATAATGAATACCTATAAGCTCTTCACTACTTTTCCTTGGGATGCAGAGGAACAGAACATGCCATTTTAGTGCACCCCTGTGTATGATTTCAGCCGAAGCATCATAGCTAGAAAATGCAGACTAATATTTTTATTGTTGTATATCATTTTCTTCAATGTTGGATTAAGTTTCATGGTTACCTCATGGACCGACAGCGAAGGGGAATCCGGTGAAAAACAACCCTGCCAGTGTCTTTCCACCAAGAAAGCTCTCTTTGGTTCTCATTAAGCTTGTGAATTGCAAATTCTAGAGCTGATTCAAGCTCTCTAATTCTCTCTTCCTGTCTCACTTCTTGAAGTTCATGCAATCTTCTTTCGAGCTCTCTTGGAGAAACTCCGTGGTAATATTCGAGGTTACCTATCTCAGGCTGTTCAAATACTTCCCCAAAATTTGCACTCTGGCTTTCTTCAGGTGCGGAGTCTTCAACAACTATCTGCAATTAGTAGGCCTTAGAAATTAAGAAGAGAAAATAGAATGTTATTTCTTCGAAATTGAGAAACTTGATCGAGTTTTTATTCACTGTACATTTCTGATATAGACTAGGTCTATATGTAGCATGTCTCCCAAAAAAAAAAAAAGGATCTCATGTGAACCACAATTTATTTGAGATGGTTCATGTAGACCGTCATCAATAATAAAGAGATTTTTTTGGTACAGTACCTTTCCATGATTCTTGTCTGGGTAATTCAGCATAACTTCAGTATCCAACTGCAATTGGAGATTTTCTAATTCAGCTTCAAGTTCTGCCTCAAGCTGGTCCATCTCCACCATTTTCCCTTCTCTATTCATTTTCCCGTTACAACTGCTTGAAGTGATATCTGATCCTGAATATTCCTGTTCCCAAGAAGAAGATGGACCATCTTGGAGAGAAACATGCTCTATAATGGCATGACTAGAATCTTCTTGCAGAGAACCATGGTCTGTAATAGCATACTCAGAAACTTCTTGGGCTTTGGATGAGGTTTGAGAAGTTTCAATATTTGTACCTGCCACTGCATTTTGATGTTGCCATTTGACATTTCGGAGCAGTGTTTCAATTTGTTTGGATAACTCTACCATCTTGTTAAGTTCCATTTTACTCATAACCATGAGATAAATTAGCGCAAATCCAACTCCCAAGCTGAAAGAGGCCTCTTTTCTGTGTTCCCCTGAAATGTTGATTGAATATGTGTAACTTGCAAAAGGGTGAGAGGGTGGTAAAAGAAAAAACCATGAGCCCCTCTAAATTGGCATGGCTTTCTCTTTATATATTAACCAACTTTATCAAATTTCCAATCTTTAAAACCATTTTGATAGTAGTGATAATGGTTATTAAATTGGCACTGTCCATTGAACATCACTCATGAAATGGGTAGGTTTGGACAACTTCCTCCATGCTAAATTGCACAAGGTGGAAAGCAAATTGGGCTCTTGCATGCCCGACTAAGTGCAAATGTTTTACCATTGTAATGCAAATCAAACTATTGTTTTCAAAAAATGACCATTTTGAAATTAGCAATAAGTAGTAGTCAGGTTTTCGAATATCAATGAAAGTATCCATAACACATGAAAGCAACATCGTCATTCTTTAAGAGTATATACATATCATGATAAGTATCCATATTAAAATTTTGACATGGTTTCAATAGTTTATTAGCAGTATGACTGGATATTGAACAAGATATTACTCGATCAAATTTTCGCCAAACAGAAGTGTGAAAGACAAATAAAGTAGTCATTAGGTAATCATAACTGGTAAATTTCGAAGTAACGTATCTGAACAAATGATGTAGTTTCTACGAGCAAATGCTGTTAATGGGTATAATTAAGTAAACCGAGTTGATATGAGTTTGTAAAAATACGTGTTAAATCATAGTAACATGTCCAATTGCTAGCATCCGATCCCATAATCAGAAGACTGCATTCAAGAGTTTGGACTCCATTACCTGATACTTCCTGGGCAGAATTAGATGATGATTTCTCATGCAAGCACTCAAGTGCAACTTCATCGTCTGAATCTTCGTCACGAAACTCCACCCCATCAACGTCCTTTCCATTTCTTGATTTTTCCAAATTGAACCAGGATGAAATAATTGACCAAGGGGAAAAACAGGTAAAGATTCTGCAGTTTTCCCTCCTTTTTCTCCGCCGACAGGTCGTGATAGCGGCTGTAAAGGAGTTGTTGCTGCAACCCTTTTGGACCATTCTGGTATAGATGCCAAAAATGATTTTGATCAGAAGCGAATATTCAAGAAGACGAGACAAATTTCATGCACTCCTCGTGAATTTGTGCTCGAATTTATATCGATTAAAGAGAGACGTGGAGAATGTTTATCCCTATGTGTATTTATAGCGGAGAAAGCGACTGTTGAATGTGATCATCCCGAAGTGAGAATGACGGTTCGAAGAAGTAATATTGCTGTCTGTTCAAATGCTTAAAAAGTGGAGGGAAAAGTTTATATGGAAATGAGTGCACAATCTTCAATATCTCTCTCATTATTCAACAAAAGCATGCTTCTACACTAAAACCTCTATAAAATAATTAATAATTTAAATAATAGTTATTATTCATATTATCCCTTTTAAATAATAATTTTTTGGTTCTAATTTGGGCCAACGAGTTAAATTAATAATTTAAATAAAATAATAAGATAATATTTTTTTTGAAAACTTTACATAACCCTTTGGTTACATTCATATCATAAATTAATAATTTACTAAGTTACATATTATATTTTCCTAAATATGAGTCCATTGTTGCTTGTTTTTCATAAAATTTAAAATCTACCTAAATATCATCGCTAATTTTTCTTAGTACATCTAAAAATTTGAATTCTCATATTGCAATAAGAAATTATGAAGAGTTATTGATGCTTTGAGTGCCTCTTTCTGCATATAGGTTCCAAAGCTACTGTATCATCCTCAGCTTCATTATTAGTAAGATTTTCAGTAATCATAACACAATTTCTTCTAAATTTGAGACCTTTGAACTTGTATCATTTTCATTCGACTGATCCAATAAATAAGTTACAACCATTTTGTTACAATAGACTAAATCATTGACTATTGTATTAAATTTATTAATATCTTCTTAATCCAAGTTCTTTGAGGCTATTTTTTCCACGGAACTTTAGTTGATTAAATGAGTATTTCTTTGAATTGTATGTACACTTGACAAATTAATAAATTATTAGTTTATCGCTTGATTAAAATTAATAAAATTTGTATGATTCCAAAGTTATTAATCTGTAGAGGTTTTACTGTACAATGGATATTTTGTCTCCATCATTAGTGGCTTTTTGTATCTAATTAGTGATGCATAAATTCATCGTTTGCCTCCCTTGTTAGTAATGTTAATAGAAGGGAGATGATATTAGCACTCCAAATTGACTTCTTGCATTCCGATCCCACTTTTCATATAATTTTATGATAAAATTACCTCTTAATAAAAAAAAAAACCAAGCAAATAGTATATAGAAGTTTTAATGAACTAAACTATTTGCAAACATATTCGTATTCAATTTAATCGAATTCAAAAAAAAAGCTCGATTGTATGATAAGCGAATTAAGTTCAAACATAATATTAGAATCGTTTAATAATCAAACCGAATACAAATATATTCGTAAATTACTAGAATATATTTGTGAACACGAATATAATTATAAATAATAAGTAATTATAATCATTATTAAATATAGGGTTATATATCTTGTATTTTCCTCAACAAGTAGTTATATATAAGAATTAGTGTTATTTGTTTTCTAAAAAATACAATTAAAATTGTTTAGAATCATGTATTATTTTTAAAAAAACAAAATTAAATCATTTTCAAATTTCAAATTCAAGTTTGAGTTCTAGTTTGCCTCATTTAATTTAACAAGTTGAGTTCGATTTCAAACTTGAATATATAAATTACTAAATTGAATTCGAACAATACTTATAGTTTATTTAATATTTGATCAACCTTAAATCCTGTTCATATAATAAACGCAATGTTAAATGCTCTACTAAAATCACCACTCTTCAACCCCAGCATGCACATAATAGCAACAAAAAGCTACCACTGCCCAGAATCACTCCCCAAAGAATTCTACAAACATGCACCTTCCCTGAGCAGTAGCCACCGATATTAAACCTTCCCCTTTTTCACACGCCTGCTTCCCCCATCCTCTCCTCCCCTCCCTTAACTCAACCTTCTGGCTAGGCTATCAACTCAGCTACCCACAAACACACTCCAAAAGGGCATTAAAAACCATCATCTTTTCCCTCGAGGCCTCTATCAATCACGATAAGACCACCTCTGGATAAATCTAAAGCCCTCATCATTGAGCTCCATACAACTGTAGATTTGCCTAAATCTTTAGACCGATTTAAGGGTAGGCAATTCCGTATTTTATGAGTCCATAAGTTGGAATTTTGTCATTCTTTGTACGGATTGAAAAGTGGTACTGGAGAAGAATAAGAACTGCAATGGTTCTGGGGGTTTGCTGGTGAGAGATCAGAGAAAGAAAATAATGCGTAAAGTTATTTACGGGATGGGTTGGGATTTCTAAACGAGAAGCAAGCAATGAGAAGATGGGTAATTGTCTTTTAAGTTTGATAAAACACAACCTTGGAGTGCCTAAGGTCAAATGTGACGTGCGAATTAATGAGTCTGTTTGACACTCAAGTTTTTGTCATGTTTTTAATAGACAAAATTTTTTTTTTTACAACTCTATTTTATATTAACCTCTAAATATATTTCAAAATTTTTAATATACACACCCCAAAATATCAAAAAATACACAAATTTTTTTTTCCCATCTTTTCTTCCTCCTCTTCCATTTCAACCTACTCCTATTGGCCGGGGCCCCATCGATGCCAATGCTGATGACCTGCTTTTTTTTCTTTTCTTCTCCTTTCTCCTCATCTCCCTCCTCCTTCCTGTCTATCGTCTTCTCCACTTCCTCTCCCTTCTCCCAATCCCCTCCCCCTCCCCCGTTCAGCCAATCAAACTGATCAATTGAATTTTCAAAACACTGGTGCGAATACCATTTGCCTAATAGACTAACTTGAAACTAGAATCCCTAGAAAACATTTAGTCCTAACTAAATACGATTAAAACGCTATATCGTCTTGATATTAGCTTTTCTATTCTTCTTTCATAATGGTTTGTGTCCTTTTATACAACGGCACATCTACCAACTTCAGTCTATTGGAAATTGCTTAATAGATCTGGTGCAAAGCCATAGAGCCCTATAATTAAATTCCTCTAGACAGATGGATTTCACTTAGAAAAGTGACCAGAATAATCCACAATTAGTTGTTTTGATTGAAAGAATGACTAAAGTGATACTCAATTAGAAGTGTAAAGAATTCAGCTTAAAAATTAGACTAGTAATTAGCTTAGTTACCATTTCTTCACTTTGCTCTACAATTTTGAAAGCAATATTTCATCTACTGTTTAAAATTTTCACAAGGAAAATGGTTATCTTTTTTTTTTCCCTCAATAATAATTATCTAATATACTCATGTTTCTACTCTAAGGAGAGTCTAAAGAGATTTATATGAAATTGAGAGGTGAACCACCAGACCAGATAAGTGTACTACAAATAAGTGCTCCCTTTGAATTTTTTATGAATGAGAAGCACTATATTTCTTATGTGATGCACATGGAAAATGGCTATCAATTGCCACGAATTAAAATAGATAATAATTGATGTAGATACTAAATTGCAGATATTAGCGCTTCACAAATGTCCTTTCGTGCTCCACTTTTACATTTTCTCATCTGAGAGGACAATTATGCCCTTTGAATTTTTGGGCCCTCTGAATCAGATAACTGATTAGAGTTAATTGGGTCCTCTCACTATAGTAGAGGCTTTCTCACTCTAAAGTAGTTGTGCTCTCTCTTGGGTTAAGAGCCCTCTCACCTTTTTGGTGGGAAGTCAGCACTTTTCAAATTTTTCAAATTACCACATTCCCGCAAATCTAAATCTAAGAAACCTTTGATCAATAATCACCCATGAGGGTGTTGGATTCAAGGTTGATGAAACGTAGATCAGTTACAGCTAGTCTGTGCATGAAGGGTAGAAGGTCAAGCGCCACAACCCGCTGGTTTGTTTTGCTAATGCCTGGACAAAAGAGAGTCAGTGTTCTTTCTTTCCCTTGTCGTTTGTATGCGGTACAAGTGAGCAGAGATCACTTATCATCTTTATTTGTCTAATCTCATTGTTGGAACCTGTTTTCTGTTTAGCTATTTGGTCCACTCTTCTCTTTTTATTTTTTGGGTCCCATTGCTGTCTGTTTTGCGTTTGGTTTTCCTGAGTGTGGGTGTCTTTTACCACTTGGTATTGCTGGATTTTACCATGGAGCGAGATTTGACAGAGCTCCTACAGAAATTTTCCCTGGAAGGGAATGAGCTGCTAGGACCTACGTTGGAGCTAGAGGACTTTCATACGGGGGTGAGAGCTTGTGAGAATAGCTTCATTGGTAGAGTTATAGGAGAAAAAATTATTAATTTCACTGGAATTAAAAACTTTGTGGCTGTGGCCTGGGGGTACCCCAGGAATCTGTCTGTGGTGGAACTGGGACCTAACGTGTTCCAGTTCAATGTGCAGAATCCTGATGATCAGAAAAGAATTGTAGAGGGAGGGCCTTGGGTTATAGACAATCAGATGTTAGTCTTGAAAAGATGGGTAGAAGGTATAGAAGAGGACTACAAAGCCTTTATGATAGCACCTCTGTGGGTGCAACTCTGGAACCTACCAGTTCACTGGCTTTCTAAGGAGGTTGGAAGAAAGATAGGAGGAGTTTTTCTTGAAGTTAGAGAGGTCTTAGTCCCACAGTCTGGAGGCAAGGAGGGTAGACATTTGAAAGTGCTAGCTTTGGTCGATCTATCTAAACCTCTTCTCAGAGGTACCGTGGTCAGGAATGCAGGAGCTGGAAAATGGATAGCTTTCAAATACGAAAGATGTCCGGATTTCTGCTATAATTGTGGGATTGTAGGACACAGTGAGAGGTCCTGCAAAGAAAAGCGATGCTTAGGAGATAACAATGCTGAGAACCAGTACGGTCCTTGGTTGAGAGCAGGGAACAATAGGTCTTCACCTCAGGGAAAAATGGGGAGGTCGACAGAGGGTAGTGATAAACGCTACTGGACCTTTAGGAATGGGGAATTGGTCGAACAGGAAAATGTTAGGTTACAAAATCAGAAGCATCTTGT